TTACTACTACTACTACTACTACTACTACTACTACTACTACTACTACTACTGCTGCTGCTGCTGCTACTACTGCTACTACTGCTACTACTGCTACTACTGCTACTACTGCTACAAATGCAACTTTTTCAAGCTCTGGCTCCAAAGAGGTTTCTTGATACAGTATATCAAGAGGCACCATGATCATTAGCAGAAGAAGGATGAGAGAAAGAGAAAGGAAAAGGAAAAGTAACAGTGGTGGCCTAGACTGGGGAGAGATATGGGTTCAGATCTCCAGTGAACCATGAAGTCCATTTGATGAGCTGCCCAAGACAATCCACCAGTCTCACAAACTTCTTTATGATAAATTAGAGGATGGAGGAAATAATCCTGCCCTGTGTGTCACATTGACTCCAGGTGTGAAAAACAAGACAAATTCTTGCTGATATCATCTGCAGGGGCTCCACATGAGACTTCCTTTACTGGACATGATCTCAGACACAAAGGCTTGCAAAACATAAATGTGCACATCTCCTCCCTAGCAGACCCCATAATCATCAGTCCAGTTGAGTCATTTCAGTCACAATGTACCGAGTTTACTTTTGGGAAATAGCAATTTGCTTGTTTCCCCTTCCATAGTTATAGCAGATTTTGGGCCTGTCTGCACTGCCCAATTTCATCTGTTTTGCACCATTTTGTTAAGGCTCACCAGCCAGCCCCCTCCATCGATCTCCATGTCACAGAAGACCACCATTGTTTTGCCTGTGGTCGGATAGATTGTGTACCAACCGCTCAGTGTCTCTCCACGTTCCAGGAGTTCTTTGCAGTCTCTGGCTCCTGCCTCTAGGGGGAAAAAAAGTATATTCAGCAAGAAACTTATAGGTTAGTTAAAACGATCTCCATTCTGGAAATGTTTTTCTCTGTGACCCCTTCCCTTAACTTTGGGGAACACATAATGATTAATGTTAATCAGGTCCTACTTTGAGGGCACAAGGGTACACCGGAGAGAAGGTGTGTGGGCATTTGGACTGAACTGGCCTACAGATATATGACCTGTGGACTGGATTACTGAACAGTGGAATGGCCTGACTCTGGAATGGCATCAAGGAACTCTTTGGTTTCTTTCATATACAGCACGATTTACTATTTCTTGTTGGCAAAAAAAGGCTGAGATGTAAAAGCTGCTGGCCTTGAACAATTATTTTTATTTAAAATAAAGAGGAGCAAAAGCACGGAATACTCATTTTTAATGAAGGTCATTTTCCCCCTGTAAATGGCTTTCCCCGTTATCTATATTTGCAACTACCTTACACTGGATTTCAGGGGAATGTGAGCCTAACTAAACAACCAAGGCAACCGAAGAGGCATACCTTGAGTCTGACAGCTGGCAAGACTCTCCACACCACATGCTTCTCCTGTTGAGAAATAAAAATGAACATCTGGTGAGATGGACCAACATGGTGCCCCAGCAAAATGGAAAACATGAGAGCTGTCTTAGAGGCTCCATATACAAAATTGCAGTTAAAAAAACAACAAGTATATTCCCTCACCCCACAACTGCAAATAGCAAGGTGGTAGAAAAGATATTGGTTCTCACCGTCTGGTGTTGGTTTTACAGAGAGATCAGATAGCCCAAAGCATGAGAAGAATATTGCCCAACTGGACCCCTACCAAGAACAGGGATCCCGCAGGATGTTGGTCCATGTGCAGGTGATCTCCAGAGTTGACTATTGTAATACTCTCTAGGTGGGGCTTCCCTTGAAGTTGACCCAGACACAACATCAGGTCCAGAATGGAGGCAGGTGTGAGCAAATTTTATCACATCTCTCCATTCTTTGAGGTCCCAGGTCAAGTTCAAGGTTGTGGTGCTCACCTATAAAGCTCTTCAACGTTTGGGACCTTGTTACTTGGTGGAGAGCCATTCCCCAGTATCATGTACCCATATCACCATATCCTCCCAGGCAATGCTCCTCCAGGTAACCATGTTGAATGAGACCAGGAAAATATCAACTACAGTTAAGCCTTTTCGGTGGTAGCACCAATTCTCTGGAACCAACTCCTGGTTGAGCTACGCCTGGCCCCCTTCCTGCCTACCTTTAAGAAGTTGCTGAAGATTCTGTTCCTTGAACGGGGTTTCGATTACAGCCTCAAATGAATTTTGCCCTGTGCCCACCAATTTATTATGAAATGTTGCACCATCCAGGCTTTATATTTTTTATGATTTGATTTCATCTGTGTGATTTTCACTGTTTTACCTTTGCTTGTTTGTTTGTTTGTTTTTATTTATTGTTAATTGCCCAGAATAGTGCGTTGTACTAATGGGGCGGTAGGTAGGTAGGTAGGTAGGTAGGTAGGTAGGAAGGTAGGTAGTAGGTAGGT